TGTGCTTGTCCCCGCTCTCGTCCTCGGCCTCGTCCTCCCGCCGCTCGGGGGGAGGGAGAGGGCGTCCACCTCACGAGCGGCGAGCGTCTCTATGTCCACGCCCTCGAGGTCTGGCTCCCGGGGCGCGGCCCCGCGGATGCACCTGGCACGAGGATGGCTCCAAGAACCATTCCGACCCCGTGGATTTGAACCGATTTGGTTTCGGGAGTGCCGGTTTCGATCCGACTCGGCGCTGGATTCCGATTTCGGCTCGGATTTCTGCGTGTGTGCTTCTGCCTGGGCGGGTGGACGTCGATCCCGATGCCGTCCGATCTGCGTGCCGATTGCTGCCGCTTCGATGTACAGTGGAGGCCTATACCAAGAAACACCCTGCTAGCCTCCAGGGTGCCCTGGGTTTCTTGGGTTTCGAGGGTTTTGCTGTGGAAAGCGCGATGTTCCCACGCCAAAAATCAATGGACGTCCTGGTGTCTCAGGGTTGGGCTTCGTGTGGAAGGTTTGTTGTGTACTGGCCTCCACTGCACTTCGATGGCGGCTTCGACTTTCCAATCCGATTCCGGGCCATCCTTAGCTTTGGAGGAGTGCCCTTCTGTCCTTCGCGTCTGGACCTTCCACCCTGGTCCAGTGGTGTGCTCGTCGTTTCGGTGATCGAGGAGGAGAAGGAGGAGGAGGAGGAGGAGGAGGAGGAGGAGGAGGAGGAGTAGCAGGAGGAGGAGGAGGAGGAGGAGGAGGAGGAGGAGGAGGAGGAGGAGGAGGAGGAGAGGAGGAGGAGTAGCAGGAGGAGGAGGAGGAGGAGGAGGAGGAGGAGGAGGAGGAGCAGGAAGAGGAGGAGGAAGAGGGCCACGTGCCATGTGGGGCCTCGGGGCTTCGGCAACAGGTTTTTTTTTCGTGACCCACCGCCTCGTGGCCATGTCTCGACTGCACGCGGTCGCGCGAATGTGCGTTGCGCGCGGGGCCTCCGCGAACCAAGGCGCCCCGCATCCACGGGGTCGCGGCTCACGGGGCCCGGCCCGCGAGGCCGTGGGCACGGATGTGTTCTCCGCTCGCGAGCAGTACAATAATCAATAGTAGTTCAGACGCTGGTGGCGGATCACCGCCGCCCCCTGCCTTTTGGAAACGCCCATGCGGCCAAACGTTTGGCCGAAGTCTGGCCCCTGCAACCGTTGCTGAACCCCTTGAGGGAAACCTGGGGAGAGGAAGAGAGGAGGAGGGAGAAGCTGGAGGAGGAAGAAGAGGAGGCTTCTTGAGGCCCTATTTTGGCCACCTGGGGGCTTCCTGGGAGCCTGTGGGGTCTCCTGGGACCTCTTGGGGTTCTCCTGGGGCCTCTTGAGGACCTCTCAGGGGGCCTTCGGAGGCCATCGTGTTGCCCGCTTTCGGGCCGTCTTGGAGGTCTCTGGGGCCGTCTCGGGGCCGTTTTCGGGGCCTCCGGGGGCCAGAGCGTTAAACATTGCAAAGCGCCAGCGGGAAATCAAGGATTTTGGCCTCCTCGAGGTTCTCTTGGATCCTTCTTGGGGCGCTTAAGAGGCCTCGGCCTTGCCGTCTTGGGCCCTCCCTGGGCAGTCGTGGGCCCCTCTTTGGGCGCTTTTGGGCCGTCTTGGAGGTCTCTGAGGCCATCTTGGGGCCGTCTTTGGGGCCTCTTGGGCTGTCTTGGGGCCCTCTTGGGCCCACTTGGGGCCGTCTTGGGGGCCTCTTGGGCCGTCAGGGGGCCATCTCGGAAGCTTCTTGGGCGCTAATGGGGCAATCTTGGCGGCCTCTGGGACTGCCTTGGGCCGTCGGAGGGCCGAAACTGAGCAAACACTAGAATCCTTCAAAAGCCTGCGGAACATCATTGTTTTTTCCCAGCCGTCCTGTGGTGTTGGGTCCTCGTTTTGCAGAGACAGCGCCCTGCGTTCCTTCTTCTTCTCCCTTCTTCCCCTTTTTGCTTCTGCCCTTCTCGTCGCCATCGCCGTTATCATCATTATCATCATCACCATCACCATCACCATCACCATCATCATCATCATCATCATCATCATCATCATCATCATCATCATCGTTGTCGTCGTCCTCATCCTCCTACTTATCATTACCATCACCATAATCATCATCAGCATCGACATCAGCATCCGCATCAGCATCACCGCCTTCATCATTACCATCATCCTCATCATCATCCTCATCATCATCCTCATCACCATAGTCATCGTCATCGTCATCGTCATCCTCACCATCATCATCATCATCATCATCATCATCATCATCATCATCATCATCATCATCCATACCATCATCATACCCATCATTATCACCACCACCATCATCATCACCACTACCACCATCAACATCATCATCGTTATCATCAGCACCACCATCACCATCATCATCATCATCATCACCATCACCATCACCATCACCATCACCATCACCATCACCATCACCATCACCATCACCATCACCATCACCATCATCATCACCATCACCATCACCATCACCATCACCATCACCATCACCATCACCATCGCCATCACCATAATCACCATCATCACCATAATCACCATCATCACCATCATCACCATCATCACCATCATCACCATCATCATCACCACCATCATCACCAGCATCATCATCACCAGCACCGTCAACAACACTAACAAGAACAGCACTAACATCATCATCAGCATCATCGTCATCATCATGATCATCACCACCATCACCATCACCATCACCATCACCATCACCATCACCATCACCATCACCATCACCATCACCATCACCATCACCATCACCATCACCATCACCATCACCATCACCATCACCATCACCATCACCATCACCATCACCATCACCATCACCATCACCATCACCATCACCATCACCATCACCATCGCCATCACCATCGCCATCACCATCACCATCACCATCACCATCACCATCGTCACCATCATCGTCATCGGTTTCGGCACAACCCTCACACGTTTCGTGGCTTTATAGGGAGCTCCACCGAAGGCCCCAGTGGCACATTTCGCATGGCGTACCCACACCCGAGTCGGCACACCCTTCGCACGCTTCGTGGCCCCATAAGGGGGCTCCACTGAAGGCCCCAGTGGCACAGTCCGCATTGCGTACCCGCATGCGATGTAGTACACTCATCACACCTGTCGTGGTCCCATAGGGAGCTCCACTGAAGGCACAGTCCGCATTGCGTGCCCACATGCGATTTGGCCCCCCCCCCCCACGCGTTTCGTGGCCCCATAGGGAGCTCTGCCGAAGGCCCCAGAGGCACTGTCTGCCGGGCGTACCCGCATCCGATTAAGCACACCCCTCACACGTTTCGTTGTCCCATAAGGAGCTCCACCGAAGGCCCCAGTGCGATTTGGCACACCGCCTTCATATGGAGGCTCCACCGAAGGTCCCAGTGGCACAGTCCGCGTGGCGCACCCGCATGCGATTTGGCACACCTCTTACACGCTTCGTGGCCCCAAAGGGAGCTCCACCGAAGGCCCCAGTGGCACAGCCCGCATGGCGTGCCCGCATCCGATTCGGCACACCCTTCACACGCTTCGTGGCCACACAGGGAGCTCCACCGAAGCCCACGGCAGTCCGCATGGCCTTCCCGCACCGGACTCGGCGCACCCCTCACACGTTTCGTTGTCCCATAAGGAGCTCCACCGATGGCCCTAGTGGCACATTTCGCATGGCGTACCCACACCCGATTCGGCACCCCCTTACGTTTCGCGGCCCCATATGGGGGCTTCACCGAAGGCCCCAGTGGCACAGTCCGCATGGCGTACCCGCACCCGACTCGGCACACCCCTCACACTTTTAGTGGTTCTATAGGGAGCTCCGATGCAGGCCACAGTGGCATTGCCTGCATGGCGGCCCCGCCCCATTTCGGCACACCTCTCACACGCTTCGTGACCCTATGAGGAGATCCGCCGACAGCAATACCCACGACGACTGTACTCACAACTGCATATGGTTGCTTCCTTCGCCAGGATCATTTGCCTCTTCGGACTTTCCTGGAGGTCCTTTTGGGCCGTCTTGGAGGCCCCTTGGGCCGTCTTGGGCGATGTTGGGGCCACCTTGGACCATCTTGGGGGCATCTCGGCCCGTCTTGGAGACATCTTCGGGCCATCTTGGACCCTCTTTCGCTTCTCCCCCATTTTTTTGGCTGGGTGGGGCCAGGGTACTGGGGGCTGACGGCGGGGCGGGGGGCACCGCGCGCGCAGCGCCTCCCAAGAGTGAGCGCGGCGACCCTGGCCCACTCCCGCGAATCGGGCGCATTGGCAAGCGATCGTGGCCAACGCGCGATTCAATCGCCCCACCCACCCGCGCCTCTCGTCCGGCAAAGCACTTGCAGGGTCCGCTGCCGCGCAGGGATCGCAGGCGCGATGGCGCCGCGCCTGCGAGCGGCGCAGCGACAGGACGACCCTCGCGTCGTGCGTGCCATTGCCTGCTTCGCAGGGCGCGCTGGGGGGTCGGGGTGCCTGGCCCCCCCCTCATTTTGGCGCGGTCCTGGCTCGGCTCTTCCCTTGGCGGTGCTCTCCCAAGCTTTTTCCGCAAACTTGCTCTGCGCCGATAAGAGGGCGGAGGAGGAGGAGGAGGAGGAGGAGGAGGAGGAGGAGGAGGAGGAGGAGGAGGAGGAGGAGGAGGAGGAGGAGGAGGAGGAGGAGGAGGAGGAGGAGGAGGGAGGAGGAGGAGGGGAGGAGGAGGAGGAGGAGGGAGGAGGAGGAGGAGGAGGAGGAGGAGGAGGAGGAGGAGGAGGAGGAGGAGGAGGAGGAGGAGGAGGAGGAGGAGGAGGAGGAGGAGGAGGGTGGCCCGCCTCGCCGTCGCGGGGGCCATCTTGGCCGTCTTGGAGGCCATCCAGGGTCCGTCTTGGGCTGAGTGGAGCTAGGAATTGGAGGTCTTCCTCGTGGCCGGCGGGTTGGTTGGGCTCTCGTGGCCGCCCTGTGAGAGGGCCTGCCCCCTCCCATTTCCCCCCCCCCCCGTGCTCGCCGCCGATCCTCCTCTCCCGGCCTTCCGCCAGCACTTTCGGCGCAAGGCCAAGGCTGAGCCAAGCAGTGCGGTATCCGTGGCCCAACGCCAGACCGTCACTCCGGCAGGGATGAGCAAGCTCAACATCGACAACCTCAAGAAGGGCATCGGCGAGATCCTCGACGGCGCGAAGGCGAAGCCCCGCAAGTTCCTCGAGACGGTGGAGCTGCAGATCGGCCTCAAGGACTACGACACGACCAGGGACAAGCGTTTCGCCGGCACCATCAAGCTCCAGCACGTCCCCCGCCCGCGCATGAAGATCTGCGTCCTGGGCGACGCGGTGCACTGCGAGCAGGCTCAGCGTGCGGGCATCCCGTTCAAGAGCGTCGATGACTTGAAGAAGCTGAACAAGAACAAGAAGCTCGTCAAGAAGCTGGCGCTCGCACAGACGAACGTCTGAAGTAGGGGAACGACGAATGACATCAACAGAAAGGCTCGGAGGTCCGCGCCGCGGACCTCCGAATCTGTTAAGTTTATGTCATTCTTCGTTCCCCTAAGAATAAGCTTATTTCTTCTGAGGTCCGCGCTCTTTCTTCTTTGGTCGGCGCTTGCTCCGCCGCACTGGGGAGGGGGTGAGGGGAGGCGGATCCAGCACCGACCCAAGACAAATCCTCGCGGACCTGCAGTTACCATTTGAGCCACGGAAGGAAACGGTGTCGTCTGCGGCGACATTTGCGCGTAAGTTTGCCGCGCAAGATCCCGCATAAGCTCCCTCCTTTCCACGCGGTGTGCCACGCTGGCGGCCCGCGTAAGCCGCGGCGTAAGGCCGCTGTGTCTTCTCGCGCAAGACCGATTTCTTTCTGTCGCTCATCTGCGTTCCCTGGGCAATCTGCTGGGTGGGCTACACGATGCTCAGAGGGGATCCAGGAAAACTTGGAGGTCTTTGGCAAACCATCGTTTTTCCCTCAAGCGATATCGTAGCGCCTCTGATATTGTCTTCCGCATTCCTCTCTCCTGTCCTCTACATTTCTTCTCGCCGCTCATCTGCCCAGTGTTTTACGTCTGTACACTTTTCGGGTTTTCTTTCAGGCGCAGTCCTTCGACGGCTTCCTGGCTTCGCAGGTGCTGATCCCGCAGATCCCCAGGTTGCTCGGCCCCGGCCTGAACAAGGCCGGCAAGTTCCCGACCCTGGTGCAGCACACGGACGTTCTCGAGAACAAGGCTCCAGCGGCGGACGACACGGGTGTTGGGGAATGAGCCCGCTGAAGGCAGCTCATTGAGGCTAATGCGCCTTCGAACATGTTGCCTTCAGTCAGGAATTCTTGGCTTTATTGTTTTCTTGGCTTTCAGGACAAAACTTGCCTGCAGTGAGCGAGGGGTCCTCGTCGTGTGGTTCGGGGTCGTTTTCGTCGGCCCTCGGCTGTTTTCCAGCGTCGGGATGCTCTCCAGCAGCTGCGCCTCTCCGACAGCGTCCCAGGGGGGCCTGGATCGTCCCGAACGGCCGCCAGGGGCCCCAGACGGTGCCCGACAGCGAAGCGACGAGGACCACTGGTGTCGGACGAAGGGGGGGATTGGGAAATGGGGATTGCGACACCTGGTGCAAGCAGCTGATGTCGGCGCCGCCACGCCACGCTTTCCTCGATAGATGATCCCGGGCTCTGGGTCCACAGGCCCCCCCTCCCAGATGGGATGGGTCTCAGGGTCCCTCGGGCCCCCCCCCTGCTGATTGGGGGGGGGACGACGACGACGACGACGACGACGACGGCGGCGGCGACGACGACGACGACGGCGACGACGGCGACGACGACGACGATGACGGCGACGGCGACGACGACGACGACGACGACGGCGACGGCGACGACGACGACGACGGCGGCGGCGGCGCCGACCTCTAGAGCCCTCCGACGACGACGGCGGCGGCGGCGACGACGACGACGACCTCCAGAGCTCTCCTGGAGCACCACAGTACCACGCCACACGCCACACCCACAGCACCACACCACACCCACTGGGGGGGGGGAGGGTGGGCATCGCGCGGGGGGGGGCCGATGGCATCAGCATGGGTGGAGGGGGGGCCAGACCCTGAACCATATATGGCCTCCTGTGGCGCTGGGAGGCGCTGGGAAAATCAGCCGCATGCAGCTGATTCGCTCCACTCCCGTTTGCCATCCCTCTTTCGTCCGCCTCGAAAGGTGACCGACATGAAGAGCCAGGTGAAGTTCCAGCTCAAGAAGGTGCTCTGCATGGGCGTGGCCATCGGCAACGTCAACATGACCCCAGAGGAGCTGAGGATGAATTCGCTAATGGCTATCAATTTCCTCGTGTCGCTGCTGAAGAAGAACTGGAACAACATCAAGCGCCTGCACATCAAAAGCACGATGGGCAAGCCATTCACGGTCTACGGCTGAGTGCGGAGAGATCCGTCGAGCCTTCGATGGAAATGAACTTCCTCTAGAACCCCTCAGATGTTCTTGGAGCGCTTTGATGTTCTCCAGAACCAATTCTGAACGCTTCGCGTATTCCCACCAGCCCACCCAGAAATGATGCCCATGCGGGCTGACGGAAGAGAGGAGGAACAAACACATACAGCGAAACAGAGGGGGGAACAATGATGATCTGAAAGATGTCTGGGAACGAGGTGGTGAGGCCCTGCAGGGTACTTATCTTGGGCTTATCTCTTGGGCCGTGTGGGGGGCGATGCTGATGATGCTGCTGCTGCTGATGACGATTATTAGGATGATGATTTAAATGATGATGACGATGATAATGATGTCGATGTTGAGACTGATGATGATGATGATGATGATGATGATGATTATGATGGTGGTGCTGATGCTGCTGCTGCTGATGATGCTGGGGGTTAGAGATGGTGATGCTGATGATGGGGCAATGAGGATGATGCTGCTGATTATGATGATGACGACGACGACGACGATGATGATGATGATGATGACGATGATGCTACTGATGATGATGGTGACGACGATGACGATGACGATGATGATGATGATGATGATGATGATGATGATGATGATGATGATGATGATGATGATGATGATGATGATGATGTTTGTGATGATGATTATGATGATGGCGACGATGCTGATGACGATGGTGATGATGATGGTGATGTTGATGATGACGATGCTGTTGTTGTTGATGATTGTGATTCTGCTGCTGATGGCGGCGATTTTGCTGTGGATGATGCTGATGAGGGTGGGGGTGTATGGTGGTGATGACGACGACGAGGACGATGATGATGACGACGACGATCCGGGTTCTGATGATGATGATGATGATGATGAAGATGATGATGCCGATGCTGCTGATGATGATTCTGATTATAAGTTTGATTATTATGACAATGAAGCGGGTGACGATGATGATGCTGATGATGATGGTGCTTATGATGATGAACATGATGAAGATGCTGATGCTGATACCGATGATGATGATGATGATAATGATGATGATGGTGATTCTGGTTATGATTATGCTGACGACGATGATGATGACGATGCTGATGCTGTTGATGGTGACGTTGGGGTTGTGGTGATGGTAATGGAGATGATGATGCTGCTGATGATGATGACTAATGATGATGATGATGATGATGATGATGATGATGATGATGATGATGATGATGATGATGGTGATGATGATGCTGATGATGATGACGACGACGATGCCGGTGATGATTCTGCTGATGATGATGCTGATGATACTGATGATGCTGATGATCACGATGATGAGGATGATGCTGATGATGCTGATGCTGCTGCTGATGATGATGATACTGATGATACCGCATGAAACTGATGATGCCGATGACAGCTATGGTTATGACGATCAGTTTGTTTATGATTATGATCATGATGATTATGATGATGCTGCTGCTGCTGATGATGATGATGATGATGGTGATGATGATGATGATGATGCTAGGGGTGACGCTGATGGTGATGATGCTGATGACGATTCTGATGACGATGATGATGGTGGTGTTGGTGGTGATGATGGTGATGATGATGATAACGATGATGATGACGACGACGGTGGTTCTGGTGGTGGTGGTGATGAAACCTTATGATGCTGATACTAATGATGTTGATCATGATGAGAAGGAGGAAGAGGAGGAGGAGGAGGACGAGGAGGAGGACGAGGAGGATGAGGATGAGGAGGAGGAGGAGGAGGACGAGGAGGAGCGGGCCACGAATATAAGGAAAAGGAGGAGGAGGAACAACACATAATATCGATAATTGTAATATTACCACAATGTTTCATTAAGAATAGTGATTTATGATATGATGCTGATTCTGATGATGCTGCTGATAATGATGGTGGTGATGCTGATGATGATGATGCTGCTGCTGCTGATGATGATGGGTGATGATGATGATGATGATGATGATGATGATGATGGTGGTGGTCATAATGATGACGAGGAGGAGGAGGAGGAGGAGGAGGAGGAGGAGGAGGAGGAGGAGGAGGAGGAAGAGGAGTAGGAGTTGTAGGAGGAGGAGGAGGAGTGAGGAGCAGAAGGAGGAGGAGGAGTGAGGAGTGAGGTGTGACGAATGAGGAGTGAGGAGTTCGGAGTGAGGAGTGAGGATTGAGAGCGAGGAGTGAGGAGTAAGGATGAGGATGAGGAGGAGGAGGAGGAGGAGGAGGAGGAGGAGGAGCAGAAGCAGGAGGAAGAGGACGAGGAGCCTCTTTGAGGACTCTTGGAACCATCTTGGGGTGTTCCTGGGGCCTTCGTGGGGTCCTCTTTGGGCTTTCTCGGGTCCCTCTCGGGGCCGTTTTGGGGGATCTTGGCGTCCTCTTGGGACTCTGCCTGGGGGGGTCTTGGGGCGATCTTTGACCCTATGGCTCAATAGGGGGGGGGGGGTCCTAAGTTTCACCCCCCCCCTCCGGAGGCTGAATATTTCTCTCTTGGGGCCCTCTTTGTACTGCGGGCCATCTTGGGGCCTTAGATACCCATCCGAAGGCAAAAAGATAGACGATGAGAAGGCAGCCGTGATTTTTTTCTGGTAGGTTTTAGACGAGGGGGGCTCTTGGGGCCGTCTTGTAGCCCCATCGGGGCCTCTCGCGGGGATGTCGGAGCCTATCTTGAACAGTCGTTGGTTATCTTGCGCCGTGGAAGAGTGAGGGCGGTCCTCGCTCGTCACCTTACGCCCTCTTCCTGCAGGATCCAGACCGATCCGATCCATCAGATTCGATCTCGAGTCCGATGCGGCCCGCCCCGATTCGGTCGCCGTTCTCCGGCGGTCCGATGCGGCCCGATGCCTGCATGGCGCTGCGGTGTGCATCCTGGCGCGGTCGATCCGAGCCAGTTTCGACCTCGGTGCCCCTGTGTGCAGCCCGGTCCGACGCGCCTTCCAGCTCGACCCGAGCTCCCGATGCGGTGTCGGCTGCTCCTGTCCCGTCCGCCCTTTCGCTCTTTCCCGCCCGACCCTCATCGAGGGAGGCAGCACGGGGGCCATGACCAAAGTGTCGCGGGATCTCGTCGATGCCGATCTTGGTCATGGTCCGTGTCGGCCGTCGCCGATGCGCAAAGATGATTTTGCGAGTTGACACTGACCAAGATCGCGGTGGCCAAGATCGACACGACGTTTCCGCGCTCGGTCTTTGCCAGGGCGCCCGTTCCCTGCCCCTCCGCCTAATATCCTTTGCCTCCTCGCTCTCGGTGGTCCTCGCTCCCCTCGCTCTCTACCTGCTGCCCACCGCCGCTCCTCGGATCTCCTCGCCCGTTCGCTCCCCCTCCACGCCGTGGTCTCCTGCCCCCCTCTCCTCGTCTCCTCCCTCCCCGCACGTCGCTCACTGGCTCTGCGCCTCCCCGCTCCTCGCCCTGCTCGCCCTCGCAGAAGCAGAGAACGGCAGAAACGTAAACCCTCTCGAGCTCCGCGCGGATCTCTGGGATCGGCGCTGGGCCCTGCCGGCGGCGCCTCCGGCGCCGATCCAGGAGGTCCGCGCGGAGCTCCAACAGCTCGTGTTTCTGCAGTCTGGCCGCATCGGCCTGCTCTACGCGGGAGTCTTCTTCCACGTCTGAGCGCTTTCCCCTCCCCCCTCCCCCCGCGCGGCCGCCCTCGTCTTTTTCCTCCCTCTTGCACGCTGGACACTTCGCCCTTCGGTTGCCCCGAATCGCCACACGCTGGAGCGGCCTGCTTCTGCCCCGCCGCCGACGAAGCAAAGTTTCTGCAGCCTGTTGGTGGTATACGCTCTCTACCACCTCGCTCCTCGCTCCTCGCCTCGGCCACGCGCAGAGGGGGGTAAGGGAAAGGGGAAGGCTTCTTAGAAGCACCCCTGCTTCTTAGAAGGCGCGGGCCTTCTCTACACATGTAAGGCCGGCGCCTTCTAAGAAGCAGCCCCCTTCTAAGAAGCCTTCCCCCTCCCCCTACCCCCCTCTGCGCGCCGCCAATCGCCGTCCCCCTGCTCGCCCGCTCCACCCTCCCGTCGCGCCAGAGCCGCCGCTGCCCGCCTGCGGCTCCAGTGGCACGTAGGCCACCCCAGGGCGCTTTCGCTCGCCCGCCTCCTCCCCCCTCCTCCCCGCTCCTCCTCCCCCCTCCTCCCCCTCCCCCGCCTCCCCCTCCTCCACAATTACTCAATATGAAAATATTCTCCCTCTTCCCCTGATGGCGTCCGGGTGATGGCCGCGCACCCTCCGCGTACTGTTTTTTTACACACAGGATCCCCGGGAAATCCCGGGAAACGACTCTCGCTGAGGCGCCGGCGTCATTTTTTCCCAAAATGCTGCTCTCGTTGAGGCGCCGGCCTCATTTCTGCTCCCGAATCGTTCCGAATCGTGCTCCCGCTGCAGCGTGGGCCTCATTTTCGGATCGGTGTTTGGCCTCCGTCGTTCAGGATGGCGTTCTCGCCCCAGCGCGGGCCTTTTTCTCGCGCGCCCATCCGCCCGCCACCACCGCGCCGCACCGCCACCACCACCACCACCACCACCACCACCACCACCACCACCACCACCACCACCACCACCACCACCACCACCACCACCACCACCACCACCACCACCACCACCACCACCAACCACCACCAGCACCACCACCCACCACCACCACCACCACCACCACCACCACCACACACCACCACCACCACAACCACCACCACCACCAGCACCACCACGCACCACCACCACCACCACCATCACCACCACCACCACTACCACCACCACCACCACCACCACCACGACAACCACGCACACACGCACGCACGCACGCACGTGCACCACCACCCACTACGCACGCGCGCGCGGAGCCACAGGTCCGCTACGACACGCGTCCGCGGATAGAGAAAATCAGCGCCATGGTAAGGGATGGGTGGGAGGGGTAGGACGTCAGATATGACGCGAGCGCACCTAGCTTGCCCTCCTCCCCCTCCCCCTCCTCCCCCTCCTCTTCGCCCTCTACAGCTACACCATGAGTACTACTCTCTTCTCTCCCCTTTTGACCTCTGGAAGATGTCGGGCCCCTCTCCGCCTATTGTTTTTTTACACCGGATTCCTGTGAAATGGGTTTTCGTTCAGTTGTGTGCTTGTTCTTATGTTTTTTGTTTTTTCTTTGTTTTCAACTGTTGCTCCCGCTGAAGCACTGGCCCCATTTCTGCGCCTCTGGTTGTTTCAAATCGTGCCCCCGCTGTAGCGCGGGCGTTTTCGGTCCTTCTAAATAGGCCCCAAAATATAGACAATGGGCCCCTGGAAAAACCATCGGAAGTGACTACGCAGTCGGTGTCGATTCGTTGATTTCTTTACTTCAGGGCGTCGTCGTTTTCAGGAAGCATCAAGCGGGAGCCCCGCTTCTGCTTTGAGAAGGCGATTTTGGAAGCAGAGCCAGCGAGTGCTCTCCATCAGTCCCGCCTTGTGTGGAGTTTTTCGGGGAGCCCAAGGAGCTAGACATGGAGCCGCGACTCCAGGTCGGCCCAGACCTTTCGGAGACGATCCATTTACCCTCCAAGGAACCCGGCGCCATGCCATGACATGCTGTGTGGTGTTGTGTTCTGCGCCGCTGTGTGATGCCATGCTCTGCGTTGCAATGCTTTGTGATGCAACGCTTCGCTGCGCAATGCCACCTCATTTTATGGCATGCTATGCTCTGCCATGCTCTTCTACGCCGTGTAATTCCTTGCTCTACCATGCGTCGCATACCCTGTTGCGTTCATCGCCCTGCTCGGCATCCGACTGTGCGAATAGAGAAGGTATCTACGCCATGGTGAGGATGGAAGGGAGGGGTGGGTCGTCAGATATGACACGAGCTCACCTAGGTTGCCTTTGCCCCTCCCCCGTCTCTTCTTCCCCCTCCTCCCCCTTTATCCCCCTCCTCTTCGCCCCTTCTCCTCCTCCACTCCCTCCTCCCCCTCTACCCTCCGCCTCCTCCTCCTCCGTCTCCTCCTCCTCCTCCTCCTCCTCCTCCTCCTGCCTGCGGAGCCATTCTGGCTCAAGTTTTGAGTTTCCCCGCGAAACCAGTGGATACCGCCGTTCCGCGTCCAGTCTTCAGTGTTTTCACGTGCAGTCCGCCCTGCACGCAATTCCTTTTTCCTGCTACCCGCGGAGCTTGCAGGAACCCGGTGTGATCAGTCTTGTGCTGTCTTCGATGATGGGCGGTGTTGCTGGCAATGCTGGGAACTACTTCGGAAAAGACGAAGGGAGGCGGCATTGGCGTGGCAGTGCAATTGGTGCGTCAACGCTCGGAACGAAGCTCGTTCGTGGAACTGCGCCGACAAACCAAACTGCTCGATTTGAGGAGCAGCGAGGGGAAGTGCATGCGGGGGGGATCGTGACGAAGGCTGTCCCTCATCTACTTGAAGACGCGTGTCAGGCAATCTCCAACGTGCGATCGGCAGCAGTGCGGACCCCATCCTCTCAGCATCGCGTGAACGGGTTCAGAAAGAGTGGTGACAATCGAGGTCAAGAGGTTGGCGGCGAAACCTTTATGCGCGCAGCTCCACCGGGTCACGAATTGCTGCTGGGCTGTCGAAAAGAAGCGGGGCGCACATGCCGCGGCGATCGACGGTCTACGTGCGGCCCAGGCCAGGCTTGCAAAGGAGGTGCTCTCAGGAATCCGTGCGGGGTTGGCAGCGCTCGAGGAAAAGTGGAGGCAGATCGCGGCCGCCGTCCCAATTCCGAAGGTCCGTGGAACGCCGTCTTTCAGGTCAGTGGTGGCGGGCATCGACTGCAATATTGGCGATGCCGGTAAGATGTTGCAGGCGCTCGGAGGAGACGAGAGCTTGGCGAAGGAGGCTTTCGAGTGTTTCGGGAAGTTCCGCGAGCCCAACGAGGCTGCAGTTGCGAGGGCACGGGGGGTCCAGGGCTGACATCGACGCTGCCGTGCCAATGGGCGGGGACGACCTCGACGGGATGTGGGAGTTGTGCAAGGCCGCTTTCGGCGAGGACCCACCCCCAGCCGCGGCGCGAGATATTCGGGCGGCTGTCAAGCCGTTTGGCGAGGCGCGCGGCAACCGTGCAAATGAGTCCACAACCAAGCGTGAAGTTTCATAGCGGAGCATTACCAGTGGTACTTCCATTGATGTTGTGGCAGTTGGTGGTCGCGTGCCCATGTTCGGTGGAGTTTGCTGCTGCGCCATGGGCCAGCGCGTCGCCGTGCCGAACCAGGACTGGCGTGGTGGGTGAGCCCGCCAGCGCTGCTGCAGTAGGGGTGATGGCCCTCCTGCCAGGGTTGGAAAGCAGAGGTCGGGGCGTGGCCCTTCCGAGCAGGTGCTGATGCCGTCGCCGCGTTCTGCCGAGGCAGGTGTGTGTGTGTGTGTGTGTGTGTGTGTATGTGTGTGTTTTCCTGGGTGGGGTGGGGTGCGGTGTGGGGGGGGGGGGGGAGTCCGTCGCCGCTGCCGGCCGAGATGCCGTGACTCAGCGCTGTGCAGTAAGATTGATGCCCCCCTTGCCAAGTTCACTAGATAATGGCCAGGTCATCGTGGAGCTGTTGCAAGTCGGAGATGTCCGCGGGCCATGGGTGAACTAGTTTGGCGCGGTCGACCCAGCTATTTTTGATGTGGTCTTGTGGGCGCCGGCGTTTCAGTGCTGCCCAGGTACGGGCATCGAGTTCGGCAACGGGTCCGAGCGCGGTGGCAAGGCGAGCGAGGCCAAGTTCGGCAGCTACGATCGCGCTGAGCAGATAGAGACGAGAGACCACGTCGTCTCGATCGCCGCTCCGTGCGATAAGTAAGCAGTCGCACGCTGTGGATAGAGCGCTGTTGTTGCGGGGATATCGCCCCGATGGGCGCTGGCTGGCAGGCGAGCAAAAGAAGGCCCGTGGCGCGGGTGTGCCAGGGTCGTGGACTCCAGCGATCAGTTTGGGGCGAGCAGGTGCCACCGGTGGCGTGGCCCCCTGTCGACCCAGGGGCTGCTTATTTCCAGTCCCCCGGTGCCCCGCGATCCTGTCTTGGTTCCTGGAAGGGCTGTCGTTAGTCGTGCGCGCTGGGGTTCCATTGGTGGAGTTGTTGTCATCTAGCTGTACCTTTCCGTGTGCGTAGGTTTCGACGGCGGGGGCGTGGGTGTCCTCGCGACCGTCGCCGAGTATCTTGCCGCGTTGAAAGCGAATGGGCAGGCGTGGGCGGCGGGGGGGGACTTTTGCATGGGT